TATGTTGAACCAGCCCTGCATCTCTGGGATGAAGCCTACTTGATCATAATGGATATTTTTTTAATGTGTTCTTGGATATGGTTTGCCAGTATTTTATTGAGAATTTTTGCATTGATGTTCATGAGTGAGATTGGCCTGTAATTATCTTTCTTGGTTTAGTATTCATGTGGTTTTGGTATTGGGTAACTGTAGCTTCATAAAAGGGGTTTGGCAATGACTCTTCTGATTCTATTTTGTGAAATACATTAAGGAGTATAGGTATTAGCTCTTCTTGGAAGTTCTGGTAGAATTCTGCATTGAAACCATCTGGTCCTGGGCTTTTTTAGTAGGGAGGTTTTTGATAACAGCTTCTAATTCTTCGCGACTTACAGGTGTATTTAAATTGTTCACTTGGTCTTGGTTTAACTTTGGTATATGGTACTTATCTAAAACATGTCTATTTCTTTTACATTTTCCAATTCTGTGGCATACAGGCTTTTGTAGTAAGATCTAACGATTCTCTGATTTTGTACTGTGTCTGTGGTTATGGTCCCCTTTTCATTTCTGATCTTATTAATTTGCGTGTTCTCTCTCTGCCGTTTGATTAGTTTGGATAGGGGTTTGTCAATCTTGTTGATTTTCTTCAAGAACCAGCTTTTTGTTTCATTGATTCTTTGGTCTGTTTTCTGTATCTATTTTGTTGATTTCAGCCCTCAGTTTGATTATTTGCAGTCTTCTACTTCTCCTGGGTGAGTCTGCTTTTTTTTTCTAGAGCTTTCAGGTGTGCTGTTAAGTCTCTAATGTGTGCTTTCTCCGTTTTCTTTATGTGGGCACTTAGTGCTATGAACTTTCTTCTTAGCACTGCTTTCATAGTGTCCCATAGGTTTGGGTATGTTGTGTCTTTATTTTCATTGAATTCAAGAAAGACTTTAATTTCTTTCTTTATTTCTTCCTTGACCCAGGTGTGGTTCAGTAGTTGACTGTTCTGTTTCCAAGAGTTTGTGGGCTTTCTGGTGGTACAATTGTTGAATTCTAAATTTATTCCATTGTGATCTGTTAGTACACATGTGGTTACTACAATTTCCTTGTATCTATGGATGCTTGCTGTTTTTTTTTTACAAATTATGTGATCAATATTTGAGAAGGTTCCATGCAATGCTGAGAAGAAGGTATATTCTCTTCTCTTTGGGTGGAATGTTCTATAGATGTCTGTTAAGTCTATTTGGTTTATTACATCTGTTAGTTCTCTTATTTCTCTGTTAAGTTTCTGTCTGGTTGACCTGTCCATTGGTGAGAGAGGAGTGTTGAAATCTCCTACTATTAGAGTATGGGGTTTGATGTATGCTTTCAGTTCTAGTAATGTTTCTTTTATATATGTGGGTGTTTTTGTATTAGGGTCATGGATATTCAGGATTGAGACTTCCTCCTGATGTATTGTTCCTGTAATGAGAATAAAGTGTCATTCCCCATCTCTTCTGATTGATTTTAGTTTGAAATCAATTTTGTTAGATATTAGTATAGCCACACCCACTTGTTTCTTTTATCTAACGAATTGGAAAGCTTTTCCCAACCATTTACTCAGAGGTACTGTTTGTCTTTGAGTTAGAGGTATGTTTCTTGTAAATAGCAGAATGTTGGATCCTGTTTTTGTATCCATTTTCTTAACCTGTGCCTTTTTATAGGTGAAGTGTGTCCATTGATATTAAGTGATATTAATGACCAGTGGCTGCTAACTCTGGTTATTTTTTCTGGTGGTAGTGTTTGCATGTTTCCCTTCTTTGAGTTGTGCTGGTGTAGGGTTGTTAGATGCTTGTGTTTATGGTTTATGGTTTAGTTTGTGGTTTTCCTTCTATTATTTTCTGTAAGGCTGGGTTTGTGGCTACATATTGTTTAAATCTGTTTTTGTCCTGAAATATCTTGTTTTCTCCATCGATGGTGAATGCGAGCTTTGCTGGATAAAGTAGTCTGGGCTTGCATCCATGGTCTCTTAATGTCTGTAGCACATCTGTCCAAGACCTTCTGTCTTTCCTGGTTTCCATTGATAAGTCATGTGTAATTCTGATAGATATCCCTTTATATGTTACTTGACCTTTTTCTCTTGCAGCTCTTAATATTTGTTCTTTATTCTGTATGTTTTGTGTTTTAATTATTATATGGTGAGGGAATGCTCTTTTTTGATCCACTCTATTTGGTATTCTGTATGCTTCTTATACCTTTATAGTACTATCCTTCTTTAGGTTGGGAAAGTTTTTTTTTCTATAATTTTGTTGAATATATTTTCTGGGCCTTTGAGCTATAATTCTTCTCCTTTTTCTACCTCTATTATTCTTAGGTTTGTTTTTTTCACGGTGTCCCAGATTTCCTGGATGTTTTGTGTTAAGAATTTGTTGGATTTGTTATTTTCTTTAATCAATGAGTTTATTTCCTTTATAGTATCTTCGGTGTCTGAGATTCTTTCTTCTATCTCTTGTATTCTGTTGGTTATGCTTGTCTCTGTAATTCCTGTTAGTTTACCCAGATTTTCCATATCCAGCCTTCTATCGGTTTGTGTTTTCTTCTTTATCTCGATTTCATTTTTCAAGTCTTGAACTGTTTCCATTACCAGTTTGATTGCTTTTTCTTGGTTTTCTTGGATATCTTTGAGAGATTTATTCATTTCTTCTACCTTTTTGTTTGTCTTCTCCACTTCTTTACAGCTGTTTTTCACATCCTGTTTAAGGTCCTCTATTATTTTCATAATGTTATGTTTAAAGTTGATTTCTTCTACTTCTTCTGGAGTAGGTTGTTCAATTCTTCTTCTTGCGTTATCCCTGGATTCTGGGTCATGTTGCCTTTCAGGTTGCTGGAGGAATTCTTACATTGATGCCTGCCCATCTCTTCCTTCAAATGCAGCCAGGAGAGTCTTGGCATCTTGGTCCAGTCTTTGCTGTGAATGACTCTCTGGGTGGATCTCCTCAGTGCAGGAGCAGGAACTGTTCCTGGGCCACGGACCAGTCTGGATGGATCTCCTCAACACAGGAACAGGGACTCCTAGGTAGTCCAAGGACCCCTGCAGACAAAAGGGTGATCTTGGGGGGAGGGCAGGGTCATGTGGAACAAAGAAGACCCTGCAGCAAAAGCTGAAGGTGCCCTGTACTCCCTTGCATGGACCTTCCGGCCTGCTGGGCTGTCAGACACTCATCCCTCTTGGTGGATAGCCTTAGTGCAGAAGCAGGAACTGTTCTTGGTTCAAGGACCTTGCAGACAATAGGGCAGGCTTGGGGGAGGCAGGGTGATATGTAACAAAGAAGCCCCTGCAGCAGGACCTTAGGGGGCCCTGTGCTCCCTTCTCAGACTATCTGACCTGGGATGGCACACACTCACCCTTCTGGATGGAATTCCTTAGCACAGAAACAGGGTCACCCAGTAGTCCAAGGACCCTGCAGACAAAAGGGCAAACTTGGGGGGAGGGCAGGGTCATGTGGAACAAAGAAGACCCTGCAGCAGAAATTGAAGGTGCCCTGCACTCCCTTTGCGGGGACCTTCTGGTGTGCCAGGCTGGCAGACACTCACCCCTCTCATGAAATTTTTTTTATTTCTTTTCTTTTTTTAATCTCTTTTCTATGTTCTCTTAAATTTTATTTTATTTTATATTAGGATGGAGGTTGCAGGGGTAGAGGGTGGAATAAAAGGGACAGGGAGGTGAATGAGATCAAGATGCATGATGTGTAAGCAGATAGAATAAAAATAAATAAAAAGAAAGAACACTTTAAACAGCATTTGAAAAAGAGTGAAAATAAGAGTGAGATAGGGAGAGTTAAAGAATTAGAAATAGCAGCCATGACACCGATCACAGAGGTCGGCCAAGAAGCCTCTTCTGAGATCACTCTCCATTTCTGAGCAAGATTATTGAGCAGTCGTCTCTGGATTTGTAGCACCGTGGAAAGGGCTGATCTTTAACTTTATAGGGGCCAAGCAACGTTTCACACTGAAAGTTTATCTCAGTGTAGAGGAAGTCACAAGGAACCCGGAGGAGCCAAGTTTTGTAAACTGAGTGTAGTTGAGCCACAGCTGAGACAGCTCCTACGCTCTGTCTTAGAGTGAGCTACAGGAGATGTTTTCTTGACTAAAGCTGTGTCCTAACAAAGGTGCAGAGACCATGATTTGACAGTGGAGGTGAACTCAGAGAATGACTGGATTCCCCTAAAAGAAGAGCTTGAGAGGCCCCCAGGTAATGGAATTCATAGCTCTGTCATAGGTCACAATTTTAAAGGGCTGAAGGATATACAGTCCTTTGTACCAGGAAAAGCCTAGTAGATCTTCTGGCAGATTATGAAGAAGGAGAACAATGTTTTGCCCTTTAACAACATGCTGTGACCCTGTTTCTACGGTGAGTTGGGCAGAGCTGAGAGTGTTGCCGCAAGTAGAAATGGAGGCTGGAAAGAAGAAGAGAAGAAGGCATTCCATGTGCATGGTGGAAAGAAAACGACCTCTGTCCTGAGCAGATGGACTCACCACTCAGCCTAGAGATGTAGGTATAGGATGTATATCCCGCTTTGGGGGGTGGGGCTCAGCAACACGACCTCCATTCACTTAGTACCCTGAAAGTATAGTTTTCTTTGCTTGGAACTCTCTCCTCGAGGGTCTACACACCTGCCCCTCCCTGCCCTCAGTCAGACTGCTCACACTCACGTACACTGAGTTTTGAGATGATGCCTCCCCTGACCTTTTCTCTACAAAACCTGGATCTTCACTTTCTTTTTTCCCTATTTCCTTTACGGCTGCATTCAACCTCTTCTTTCACATTCTATATGTCCTTGCTGCTCTGTCCTCCAGCCCCTGGGACTAGCGCTGAGTGAAGACAAGAGCACTATGGTCTTCTTTGGGGGCACAGGCATTGGGAAAGGCTCAGAAACTAGGTTGTCTAGCTTTTTGTCAATTTGACACTAGCAAGAGTCAGTTTCGCATAGGAACCATCAAATAAAAATGCCACAAAAAGACTGACCTGTTGGGAAACCTGTAGGACATTTTTTAATTGGTGGTGGATATGGAAAGGTCCAACCCAATAAGAATATGTCTAGCCCAGGGCTAGAGGTTCTAGGAGCTATAATTAGAAGGCTGAGCAAGCCATGAAGAGTGAGCCAGTAAGCAGTACTCCTCTGTTCTCGCTCCATCAATTTCTGGGTTTTGATTTATGAGGCTCTCACATTCAGAGCTAATAAATGCCACAGTTCCACATGCATGGCCAAAAATATTGTTCCCTGTCAACTCTGACACGAAGTGAGATACCAAACCGGGCAAAACGCTTTCCAGGGTCACATGTAGTTGAGTAGCAGATGACTCGTATTCACCTCTCTGTGAGGTTGCCATGGTTTCCTCATATGCATGGCTAAGCCTCAGGAGACTAAGCTGACTGTGACATCTTAAGCTGAGTTTCTTTCCATCAAGGACTTCCTTGATACAAAGGGAAGCATGAGATGGAGTCTGATACATGGTTGTCTGTCTCCACCGTGTGTTTCCTGCACTAAATGCTCAAACCCCAACATGGGGACACAGTGCAGAGGGGAGGCAGGAACAGGCTAAGCACAGCAGTCCTGTGTGTCTTAAGTCTCATCCAGCACAGAATGATCACAGAGAATCACTTACCATTCACCTGTAGATGCCCATGTATTAATTCCAGTTTCATATCTCTAGTCACAGTTTTTAGGGTGTAGAATCCAATATCATCCAGGGTGACATTGTGGAGCAGCAGAGATCCATTGCTGTACACTGTCTCTCTACCACTGTGTGCAGGGCCAGGCAAACTTGAATTCTTGTCTATGGCGTGTCTGGCAATCTCGTAGGTGATGAATGAAATCACACCTTTGTACCAGATAAAGGATTGAAGGTTGTCTGGGAGATCTCGAACAAGTAGAAGAACATTTGCCCCTTCTGTAACATTGGGTGGCACTATTTCAATAGTGGGTTGGTCAGAAGTGGTACGGCCCCCACAGGTTAAAATGGAGACTAGAAGGGAAGAGAAAAATCCATCGCTATTTGAACCTTTGTATTTAGGTAAAATGAGGCCCTGTGTCCTGAGCAGGTGTGTCCATAGTTCAGCCCAGGCTTGTGGGTGAGCATCTCCCTGTCCTACTGGGTAGAGGTCTGCACGTAGCCTCTATTCACTCCAAGTTCCCTCATGTGTCATGTCCTCTGTATGGTACTCTCTCCTCAGTTATCAACATGGCCCAGGCTTGCTGCCCTCGTATCCCCGCTCACATCAGTGTAGGTTGGGATTGGAGTGATGCCTCCCTGACCTCTTCCCTACACACCCTGCATCTTAACTCACTGGCTCTTTTTGTTGCTCTTCTGCTCCTCTTGTGGTTCCAGTCAACACCTGACTTCTCCTTCGAGCTTTCTTTATCTGCTCTCTCTTCTAGCCCATGAGAAGTGGAGAACTGTGAGAGACAGGATTTGTCTTACCTTTTTTAAAGTAAATCTGCCTAGAAAAAAAAAACTAGATACCTGTGGAGAATGAATGAATGATATCCCAAAAGCCTGTATGCTCATGCATTTATTTAAGAAATTCATAGGTGTGGAAATACAGTGATGCATGCTTCCATATGCCCTGATTTTTTCCTTGGACTTATTATATTTGTGTGTCAGTTTGTGTTGAAGGTCATGTCTCAGGATGTAGAGGTGGGTACCAGACACACTACCTACATGGAGGTCATGTCTCAGGATGTAGAGGTGGGTACCAGACACACTACCTACATGGAGGTCATGTCTCAGGATGTAGAGGTGGGTACCAGACACACTACCTACATGGAGGTCATGTCTCAGGATGTAGAGGTGGGTACCAGACACACTACCTACATGGAGGTCATGTCTCAGGATGTAGAGGTGGGTACCAGACACACTACCTACATGGAGGTCATGTCTCAGGATGTAGAGGTGGGTACCAGACACATTACCTACATGGAGGTCATGTCTCAGGATGTAGAGGTGGGTACCAGACACACTACCTACATGGAGGTCATGTCTCGGGATGTAGAGGTGGGTACAAGACACACTACCTACGTTGGAGGTCATGTCTCGGGATGTAGAGGTGAGTACAAGACACACTACCTACGTGGAGGTCAAGCAGCAACTTGTGATCCTTGGTTCACAGGTCATCAGACAATAAGACAAATGCCTATATCCCCTGAGTCATGTCACTTATCAACACCAGTTTGGTTTTTTATTTAGGAAGTCATAACTGTCAACATCAATCTTCAGATTATTTTTGTCATAGTGATTAAGTTTGGGTACAAACAATCTCGCCTTCACTTCCCCTTATTTTTTCTTGTTCACCAAGAGCTACCTGTTGCTGAGACTCTGGACTTCCCTGTGTCTTCTTCCCTACAAATCCTGAGACTCCTTTCAGGTCCTTGTCCCACTTAGGAGACTCCAGACAGTAGACCGGTCAAATTGTGGTCTCCTCACCTGTGAGTAGGAGTCTCTGAGAGTCAGTGACCCCTTGCAGAGAGGACAGGGGGTGTCTCCCTAGTCTCTGTGACCTGATCTGTCATCATTCTGTGGCAAGTCTGCTCCCAAGCTCTACTCTCCTTTCCTCATGTGAACTGAGCCTCCTCCCAGGATGGAGCATCTCCCAGAGTTCCATAGGCTGTGGGGTTCTCTATTCAAAACACTGCTCTGCCCCCTTACTCTCTGTACTACCCCACATTATTTTTAATTTTCTCTCTTTATGTTTCAGTCCTCCACACCACACAGTGATCAAAAGGGCTGATGAGCATCCCTGTTCCCTGAGAGTACAGCAGCTCACCCTGGGGCTGCCCCTCTGTTGTGTCCTGGCCTTGGTTATCAGCATGAAAGATGGAGTCTCTGCACTCTCTGAGTGACACAGAAACACAGCTGGGCACCCAGGCAGCCCTATGTCCTCAATACTCTAGAAACATGGAACTTGCTCTCAGTGAGGTGTCAGAAATGTTTGTGAGAGCTTCAAAAGGACCAGCTGAGTGATGTGCAGGGAGGGGACAGATCCATTCTCACTGCAGTCACCAGCCAGGGATCTGACCTGGGACAAAGACCAAGAACCAGGTGTGTCAGCAGTCTCCCACCCTAAGTGTGTGGGAAAAGGTGGCCTGAGTCACTCTAAAGAGGGCTCTGGGCTCCATCACCTCATGGGCAATTTCATGACGATGCTCACACTTCCTCTTTATGCTGAGCTGTGTAATAGGTCTGCCCGTGTACTCCCTGGCATTTTTAAATGCCTTGGACCTCTCTCTAGGTGATTCCCCTTGGCTACACTATATTTCCCAAAGGAAATACATCAAGAGGGGAATGTACATTATCTCCTGGGAGAGTAGCAGATTCAGGAATCAGCCAGTAGTTTGGAAAAAGCTGTTTCAGTGACTTTGGGGTTTGTAGGGAAATGGGTGGGAACCAGATAACAAGATAAGTTCTTGGTTCAGGTAAATACTTTTGAGTATTGACTGTGTGTTCTGAAGCTCTCCCTGGTGATCACTGGGGAAGCCACAGCTCACAGCTGGGGAGCTGTGCATTGCAGCAGAGCCTGTAGCCATTTGCCTGTAGGAGAGAATTCTCTGAACTCGAGCAGAGAGAACAATAACTTGCCAGGATGACCTGTGTCCTCAGTCCCTCTCCTTAGTGACCTTGATCTTCCTGTCTCATAAGCCCGTCAGGAGAGTTCATTAATGACCTGGGCACCTGTCCAGCTGTGCTCTCCATGCTGAGTCTCTGAAGGAGATGTCCAGGGGACCTAGTCTAACCACGGCTCTCATGACAGTGCACTGGCTGGTCCAGACAGCACAAGACTTTGAGTACTAGAAAGCACTGTTCCCGACCATAAGGAAGTCAAAATCCAACCTTCACAAAATGCTTCTCCAGGATACCTGAAGCTGAGTCTGGGAGAGAAGTCTGGAGCCAGGGCATCCTGTTGTTCACCTCTCCCTGAGGATCCAGTGTTTTCCTCAATCAGGCCCAATGTTGGTCCCTCAGGTCTTCTCAAGGACACATTCCTGTGAGAACTCCAGAATTCCAGACAAAGGCTGATATCCCTGGCTGGACTACCTGCCATACATCCACATGTCTGCAAGGATTCTGGTCCACTGCAGTTATTTTCCACCACATGTGTCCTGCACTAAAATTCTCAGACCTCGACATGGGGACGCAATGCAGAGGGGAGGTAGGCACAGGCCAGACCTGACGATTCTGTGTGTCCGGTGGAACAAATCCCACTCAATACCCAGCGTTCACAAAGAACCACTTACTGTACACAGGGAGGTGGATGGTTGTTAGTGACACAACTCTTGAATGTCTACCGATGGTTCGTAGGGTATAGAATCCTGTGTCCACATGGGTGACATTGGAAATCCACAGGGATCCATTGCGATAGACTGTCTCTCTACCGCTGTATTCAGGCCCCGGCAAACTTAAATTGTTGTTCAGTTCATAGAGTACAATTCTGCGTTTCATATTTGTTAGCCCTTTGAACCAAGCAAAGGCTAGCAGATTCTCTGGCAGACTGTGGACATATAGAAGGACAACTGTCTCCTTCGAACACATTGGGCGGCACTGATTCAATGGTGACTTCAGCAGTGGCGGGAATGACACCAGATTAAAAGGAAGGCTAGAAGGAAGGAGGAAAATATAGAGGTGTGATCATCACTTAGGTGTGTGGGTAGGGCTGTGACCACGCTCCTTGGTGGAGGTGAGCAACATGGCCTCCATTCCCTCAGAGCCTCTGATGGTGTCTTCTCCTCTCTATGAAATAATCTTCTCACTTGTCTCCCTGGCTTCCCCTTCAGCATCCCCATATCCCTCCTCGCATAAAGAGTATTTAGTATGAGGAATTCACTGGCAACCTCCTTTTCCTCTAGAGGGTCCTCACTTTCTGATTTTTCTCTGTTCCCTTTGTGTTATCAGCCAACCCCTGACATCAGTTTCTGGATCCACTGACTTCCAGTCCGCTAGAACCAGGGCTTTGTGAGGACAAGAATTATTAGTGTGACCTTCTAGGAAGATTCAGTTCCTGGAAAAGATTCAGACACCTTTACAGAAGGAGAGAAAGAAGGAACAGAGGAATGTTGGAAGGAAGGGTGTCGCCATGATATCACCTACATAGGTCATGGTTTGGAGTGAATGGTAATAACTATATTCAACTTTGATTTATTTTTTAATTTACTTATATACTTTATGTGTGTATTTCTGGAGGCACACGGGTCAGTGTGTGCAGATGTAGGACCATGCCAGAGCAACCGTGCGGAGGGCAGAGAAGAGGCTGCAGGAGTCTGTTTCTCCATCTGCCATGTGGGAACTGAGGAGTGAATTCAGATGGTCTTGTCTCCCACACTGAGCCATCTCACTGGCTCACCCCTGTCATGACTGGGACATAGGGCTTCAGAACATGGCAGCCAAGAGAGTCACTTCGAAAAGGGAGTGACTGGAGTTTTTCTCGTCCCTCATCACCTCCTGTCCACTGAGCGCTTCAGAATGCTTCCCTCGCTGTACCTTCTGCCCCATAACTGCAAAGAGAAGCCTCAAGTCCCCTCTCGGGTACCTGTCCTCTTAGGCGACTCCAGGCTGCTACTGAGTTTCCCTCAACCCACAGTCAGGGAGTGGGTACACTTACCTGTGAGCAGGAGCCCCTGCCAGGGCGTGCAGCCCTTGTAGGGAATCACAGAGGACACCTCCATCTCTCTTCCCACTGTGCAGTTCTCCCTCTGAGGAGAAGAGTTTCAGTTCCAACACAGCCCCCAGGCTCTACTGTCCTTCCAGCTGAGCTGAGTGTCCTCACAGGCGTTTCCCACAACCGGATGTGCTGAGGGTTGTTGGATCTGTGTCCAAGGCATTGCTCTGTCCCTTCCATTCCCAGTGCTGTCCCATATCCCTCTCAACTTCTGTTTATGTTTCTCCTACAAGCACCATATTGAGCAACAATGCTGATAAGCATCCCCATGCTCTCAGAGAACAGCAGCTCATCCCAGGGCTGGCACAGGCTGTGTTCTGGCCCTGGGTCTATCAGCATCCAAGAAAGAGCCTCCATCCTGCCTACGTGTCCCTGTGACACAGATTCCCAACTGAGCATCCAGGCTGCGCTATGTTCTCCTGCTCTGGGAGGATGGGATTTACTCCCAGCAGGAAGGTGACAGAGATGTTTCTGAGAGCAAAAAAGAGACCAGCTGAGGGATGACTAGGGATGAAGGCCAATTCTGTATGGCTAATGTCATGAGTCAAACTCCTGATTCGGGAGGGAGACCCAGGAGCAGCTGTGTGAGGAATTCCATGATCTCAATGTTGTGGCAGGGGTGACCTGTGTGTCCTTGAGAGGACTGTGGACTCCCTCTTTCTATGGAGGGCTTCAAGGCAGCCTTCAGCATTACGTGTTGGCTGAGCTGTGTGTTGGGTAAGCCCAAGTCCTCCCTGATCTTACTGGGTCACCTTTGCATTTCGTCTTGGTGATTCCCTGGTGGTAATCCTGTCATCCACTGTGGAGATGCCAGGAGGGAAGGGGCTTTCAGGTTACCTGTACAGAAGAAAGATGTTCTCAGACACAGGTCACAGCAGGGTCCAGGTGGGGAACTCTGGGTTAGTGGAGACAGGGATGGAAATGAATCTCCTAGGCAAGGTCATAACTCAGGGAAACAATTTTCTGAGGTTTGAGCGTGTGTTCTGATACTGCCCCCTTGGGGTCACTTGGAGAACTGCAATCTCATGCCTAGGGCTACACTAGGCAAGGTCAGCAAGTCAAATGTGGCCTGCCTAATACCCTGAGGGGGGGGGGATGTGGGGCCTGTCATCCTGCTCACTGTGCTCTTCAGAACTCCTAGTGGTAGGGTAGGCCTAGGCAAGGTTTCAGAGTTTCCTGGGAAGCCCTGGACAAAAGTCAAAATAGAAGAATATAGGTACCCTCAGGAGGAGCCCTGTGCTAGGAAAGTTTCAGAGAAAAGTCCTAGGACATTTCTCTGGAGACTCAAAGGAAAGGACACTAACATATGGGCTGCACATGCATGTTTGGACCCATCACTGGTGTCTAAATCCTTCCTTCTCTTTACCCACAGGTTCCAGAGGGGCTGTGATCTCTAGTACAGAGAACACTGATTTAAATGGATGAGTCTTCTACTCTTCCTTATATACTGCTCTATTTCTTTCTCTTGTTATGTTTAAAAAACAATACCCTCAGCAACAGCAGTTTAGGAGAGAGAAAAGGGTCCATTTCCTTCTGGGGACAGCACTGAAAGAAGTCAAGGCATAAAGCAGGCTGCTCTCTCCTTACACTAAGCTAGCTTTCCTTTATCTATTTATTTATTTAGGTTTTTAGTACAGGGTTTCAGTGTATAGCCTTCGTTGTCCTGGACCTTGCTCTGTAGACCAGGCTGGCCTTGAACTCACAGAGATTCACTTGCCTCTGTCTCCCTAGTCCTGGGATTAGTCCTGGTGTCTGCACCACCACCACCTGACAAGCTAGCTTTCTTATACAATCAAGAATGGTCTGCTTAGAGATGGTGCTACCCACAGTGGCCTGGTTCCTCCTGAATCAATTAGGACAATCTGTCACAGACATGCACAGTCTGACCTGATAAAGACAGACCATAGACATGCAGTTGTGTTACTCAGTTTGGACTCTTTTTCCACCAAAGTGACCTTGGGTTGTGTCAAGGTGACAACAAATGCTAACTAGGACACCATTTCAAACTGCTAAGTCCTCCTCCTCCATAGGAAATTCCGCATTATCCAAGTAAGCATCCCTCTCAGTTCCCCACAGTTCTCACTTGTCCTGGTGTCCACAGACTCTCATAGCTGGACACTCAGAGCCAGGATTCAGCTTGGGGGCATCTTCCCTGGGTTTTACTTTTTCTGTTTCACAGATCCTTGGTCCAGAGATGCTCTGAAGTCTTATACTCTAAAGAATTAATGATATAGCCTCATCAAACCATAAGAGTCATCCTGACTCAGGACGGACCTTCCAGGCATCTCCAACATCTGCCTCTTCTGAAATCAGAGCAAAAGCCAGTCACCAGGTGAGAAAAGACAGAAACTGGGAGCATTTCAGGTGAAAGAACATGAACATAGTTCCAAGCACTGGGTGTTCCTTCTGGGTCATGGAGATCATGAAAGCAAATGGTAGAGCCATGAAGGCAAGAATTAGTGACAGAAAAAAAATATACTTGACCTAAAGTACAATCTCTCTCCCTGAAACAAAGCCCCCAACACATTCAAGACCAGTCCAGGAGAAACCAGAGAAGTAAGGAGAGGAGAAAGAATCATAGCTGAGATCTAATGAGAGGATTGGAATTTGTTTGTACCACGGTATCTATCCATAAAAACCAAGGCTTTACCCCAAAGCTTGAAGCTATCATTTCAGGCATCTACTTACCAAGACCTGTAATTTTTTTAATGGTTAAGTATATTTACTGAGTGTTTGCATAAGGCCAGACTTTCTATGTACACATTCAGTTATTTATCATATGACCCTCTTTTTTTTCTTTTTATTGATGTTATTGAGCTATACATTTTTCTCTGCTCTACTCCCTTCCTCTCACCTCCCCTTTAACCCTCTCCCATAGTCTCCATGCTCCCAATTTACTCAGGAGATCTTGTAAGATCTGTAATTTTCTTCACTGTGATTGTATTGGGGACAATGGCAGAGTTATGGACTTGGGAGATATAGAATCCACTCATATTAATATTGATATTGGGAATAAAGAGTTCTTGGGAAGATGACTGTAGCTTCCTATTGATGAGTCAAGAGTGCTGTGCAGGTGGATTAGAGGCTGTACAGAAGGAGAAGTTGAGGTTTGACTCTGGATGGAAATGAATATTTGAGTGGGATATGATAGGGACATCTGGACCATCTGGAGCAAACAGAATAAAGGCACATATGATGTCAGCAGAGGGAAGGGCAATCCTTTTTCTTCAGAAGGCCAAACTATCTCTCTGAGCTGTGCTATAAACTTAGTTGGGCAGGACCCAGAGCTGAGGAACAGATTAGTAGAAGAGTATTCATGCAGCAGACACAAGTCCTGATCCATCTAGAGTGCAGCACACTCACATGCGCACTGAGCCTGAGTCTGAGCTGTCCCCTGTCTCCATCACCCTGAGCCTCTCTAGGCAGGAGAAGCCCTTCTAACCCATTCTAGCTCAATGCTGGGCCAAGCTGCACGAGCTTGGACTAGGCCAGGAGGTCCTGGTCAGCCTAGGCATCTGTGTTGTGGGCCTATGTCACCAACCCAAGAGAGACCTAGTGTCCTAGCTCTACTCTTCTGTACTTATGCAATTGTAGCCATGATGAAATAGAAATTACTCAAGGTAATGTTCAGAGTGAATGGGTCACTTAGGGAGGCACTCACTGGGTTCACACTCATTGGTTCCTGAATCCATTGTGACTTGAGAGTCCGCTTGCCCTCTGACAGCTTCAGCCTGTCACATTCTGAGAGGCTTGACCATTTTTCCACAACAGGTAGGTTGTGTTATGACTCTCGGATTCATGCTTTAAGGCCACTCTTCTCACCCTCCATGGGGTTAGAATTGTTCTTTGTGATGTTGGCCTTGGGTATCAGTGCTGTGCAGATAACTGGGAGAAGACGCCCCCTGTGGGGCCTCTGGTACTAGCAAAGGCCTCTTTTGACCATTGTTGGTCTTTCTAAGCCCTACCTCCAGTCCCTGTCCTTGAGATCCAGGCAGAAGATGACTCAGGAGGACCTGAGTGCTCAGAGATGGTATGTCTCCTGTGCTGTGGGAGAGAGAGGTCTTTGTCATGTGTGAGCTGGGCTGCAGAGCTTGATGGTACAGATCTAGGACCTGGACTCAGAGCCCCATTGTCTCTCCTGGTCCTTACTGAGGTACTGCCTACATTGAGCCATGGAAAGCTGTGCTCCTTCAACTGCACTGACCACCCTTGCCCAACCTGGTCCAGAGCCCTACGATACCTTGCTATTCACAGAAGTCCTATGTATAGGACAGAATAAGACTTCCCATTGAATGTCCCTGAGAAGCATCCACAGCCTGTCCTCGGGACTTGATTAATTCACACACATGAGATTATGAGGGGTCCTAGTACTCAGCTCACTACCCAGGTTGGACCATAACATGTATCAACCTTCCCAGGTATTTGATGGTGTCTGACATGACGTACAGGGCTTAAAGGGTAAAGAATGGGTCTCAGAATGATCTAAGAGATGGGAGGGCATGGAGTACAGATGGGCTTGAAACAGAACCATTATTTCTCCCTGTTCTATAGTACACTGTATCCCATAGGTGAGGACCATGCAGGGAAATGTGTTGAAATGTGAATGGCTGTTTTCTTTCTTGTAATTTTTATGTGTATAGATACTTTGACTTCATATATATATAAGAAGAATACATTGGATCCCCTGGAAATGGAGTTACAGATGGTTATAAGCTGTCATACTTGTGCTGTGAACTAAACTTGGGTCCTCTACAACAGATTCCAGTGCTCTTGGCTACTGAGTCATCTCTCCAGTCCTTCCTGATAGATATTTCCAGAGGTAAATGTTTTCAGAACTAGATCTGACTGGTAGAAGGTAGAGTGTAAGAAGTTGCTAGAACACTGCCTGAAACAGGTGTGCTTGGCAGATCTGGCCTAGGGATATGAGACTCTGCTCTCTCCATAAGAGAGCATTGTTACTAATACCCAGGCTCTAAGACTAATCCCTGAAAGGATTGCTTCTCTAAAGAGCACAGTGAAGTATAATGAAAGACAGATGTTAAAGCTGTTTGAAATCAGTGACTTCTTCAGCAGAAAGTTCCTGTGTTAGAGGCAGGATCTATTGGAAGGGACAAAGCAAAGCCCTGTCCTTCACCTTCCAGGAGTAACAGTGTCACACCAGAAAACACATGATTTCCTGTCTAGTACGTGGGCTGT